GTTCTGTTAATTTCTACAATACAAGTTTCACCCTCCTATATATTCATGCAATTCGTCCTAAAGGCTGAAAATATTTTGCAATATCCCAATGTGAAAGTTATTAGGACATTGTCATTACATTTATTGTTTTGTTTAGCTGTCTCGCTGTGTTTCAGAAGTTTCTCACATTATTTATAAGAGTCTAAATGCACTACGTTAATGAATCTAAATAACGAGCTTCACTTTTTCAGTCCAGCAGCTGTTACATCCAGCTTAATGTGTGCTGCTTTTTCAAAAATGTGTTTAAAATAAAATAAAATGGAAAGACTTAATTTCAATGTGATTTTTGAGTCATTGTAGTTCATAGGATATATATAATTCATCCTAATGTAGAGAGTGACAATCTTCTCACATATTCCTTCTAAAACTATATTTTTGCTTTATGCCTTGTGTGCTTATGGATAAACATGAAGCTAGGGTAAAAATTATATTGGTGTGCATATGTTGTTTCAATATAAACTGAAAGTTGACAAAAAATCTGGACTGACTGGTTGTCTGCCAAAAAAACTACCACAGACTTGTACATATGAGGAGCAAGTTTGTTACACAGGGTTAATCTAAAGTTTTATAAATACTCTATATAACGTACACTAGAACTTGACAACCATACTTTCAGTGCCCAGATAATTTTACTAACATCTGCTATTTTCCTCAATTGAGGTTACATCACAGGATCATTGTCATCACTTTAACCTGCGTTATACTCATGTGGTTTTACTTTAGCTTATGCTAAAACAACACACAATTCACTGCTATCAGAAATTATTTAATTAAAAATGAAGGAAGTGTCATGACACCAAAATGTTTGCACTACAAGAAAATGTTGCAGCTCCAGCTTAGTTGGAAAATGGTGTTATTTTTTTCAAGCATATATTTCTCCTAGATCTTTGATAAATAGTCCTTAAATTAAATGCTTGGTGCAACAGAGGCTAATGGGGGAAACTAGAAAAGCAGCAGGGTTGGAAAACAAAACTATAGAAAATGATGGATTTATCCCAGCTGTTTGCCAAAGGAGAAGGTTTCAGGAAGTGCTGTGGGTATGAAGTCAACTTGGATAGCATCCAGGACAGCTGAGGATTATTTATGACAGTTGCAGGAATCGCTCGCTCAACATCAAGTGGAGAACAGCCTCCCCTCCATTATTTACACTTTCTAATCTATATTTCTGTTTGTCTAATATATGAATAGGGTGTTAGCAGAACATTTTAAACAGAATTTACAACCTTGAAAAACAATTTTAACAGCATATTAATATTATACCCTCTGGACTTAGTTGGTTGTACAGTTACTTGTGACTATAAATGCATACAGAAAGGGATACTTTGACATGCCTAATAAACTATGCTAATATGAATGTGAGCCACTCGTGACAAGCAAGAGCTCAAAGACCAACGTTTTTTGATTGTTTTCTGTTTTCACAATAAGGTCATAATTCTTTGTATCAATAAATATTTGAAGATAAGCTTTACTTCCCAATTTTAGGCCAACTGAGATGGGAAATGTCTCACGGTTAAAACTGCCATATGTGTAGTAGGACCACAAATAACTCTAACATGACTATATATAACTATATACACTATACTCGGAAACTTAATATGTTGAAATATAAAAATAAAAACGCATAAAAATGTAATAAGTATGTTACTTTTAGATGTGTATTATGTGTTCATTTGTGCGTGTTACTTTTATTGTGAAATTATTTGTATGCAATTCTGGTAAAAAAAAAAAATATATATATATATAGGGACATGTATCACTGCTGATACATGTCCCTGGGAAAAGTATCAGCAGTGCCACCTTATCTTGAGTGTAGGAGGAGTGAAGGAAAAATCGTCCATGAATAATAAGTTGTCTCTCATAAAATAACACATTGCTTTTAAACCAAACAACCAATACATCAAGGTACATATATTTTTCCATTGAGCTGTCTACAGCTCAGGCACTTGCTGGGAACCATATTTTGGACACATTTAAGGAGCTCTACACAAATCAAAATAGAAATGGGGAAACAACATTTGCAGTTAAAATAAGAAAACAGCTTTTCTAAGGATTATGGTCAGAAAACCATGTTGGTTACTATTTAATTAGAATTTTTGTTCTTTTTTTCCAATAGTTTTTTTTGGTATGTTTTTGGTATGTTTTAATACACTGTAATACCTTGATTGTCTACTATTATTATTGCTATTATTACATTAAAAACCTTGGTAGTTTTTAACGTAATAAAAACTACGAGCAATAAGAGTTGTGTGTTAAAATCAGCGATGTGCATTATTATTGCCATTTTTAACATTGCTAATTCAATTTTTTTCTAAACTCATAAATTCATTGCATTGTTTTTAAAAAAGTTCAATGAGTTTAATCCTAAATTAGTTCGTAGAAAGTGTTATGATAAGGCAAGATCACTCTGTCCACATGGGAGTGTAACTCAGGATGAAGAAACCTCTGACATACTGAGAAAAGGTGCAGCTAGTGAAGCTCATGGTGTTACCTGAAACATTTGGTGAGACATTTTTGCCTTATGAGCCAATATTATGGTAAAGAAGATGGGGCAAAAAGATTTTCAACGAAACATACGTACTTGCATGTAAGTTATTTGCAAGAAACCACAGAGAAATTGATGTTAAAGCCCAATGGTCTGATCTTAATAGAGTCCATATTAAGTGTACTAAATTGTATTTGATGCATTTTGCAAAAAGCAGGTGAGCAATTACTTAATGGTTTGTAAAGGGCACAAACAAGCAACTCTGAATTATGTTTTAATCACATATGTCAGGCTGTGTATGAATATTTTGTACCTCATGCCCGAAAAAGTTACTGCCTTACTAATAAACTGTGCCTATTTGTAATCACAGCACACGTTTACCGTTCTGGACTCAGCTTGATGCATTAACCTTTGGTTTAATGAATGGGGAAAAAACCTTCATACAGTCAAACATGTTGCATTTATACCATCTAACTGTAAGATTCAGCTGCTCATGAGATGGACCTCAGACTTCATATCAACTGCACAAAGTGTCTTTGCTACCCTTAGGTTTATATTAAAGCTATGATTTTAAAACGTTTGTCCTAATCATTTTTATCAGATTTGATTTGGTACCCCAGGTCTTTTAGACTCCTCAGGTGTTTTGGGAAGGGTCCTCTACTAATACCTAAAATGAGAAGTGAGGCATGTTTATTATGTTATTTCCCTCCCTCATATGCACACACACACACACACACACACACACACACACACACACACACACACACACGCACATATACACAAATTACCCTTGCTTGTAAGGGTCTTTAGTCAGCATAGATTGCCTGAGAGCCTTTTCCCTTTCTGCAACTATACTGTGCAGTATCAAACAAGCTGCCAAAGATGATTCTTTAATTTTTGAAGAACTCTCTCGGACGAGTTGTTTCAAGATTTCAAATTGTTTCAAATCCATTACTTAAGTGTGTTCATGAATGATCTCCAAATGTATTTATGGTGTCTAAGCAATGATCCTTTGCGAAATATAATGCTTCTATCGTTTGCAATCTTGGTGTAAGTGGTGCCGGCAAAGTGCTTTTGTGCAACCCTGAACTTCAAAAGCATTCTGAACAACTTTTCCGTCTGCAGCAGTGTTTACTGTATGTGTTGCTAAACTCAAATTAGAGTTGGTAACTGTGATGACATCCGGCACATTAAGCACCAGAGAACTGCATTAGCTTTTCTCATGAACGGTGCTTCCCGTTGATGTATCTGTCAATTCATGTGTCTGGTGCCCTTTGTTACAGCACAGTAACGCAATTTGGTGTAATGCAAATACACGTGGGATGTTATTTTCCAGTAAGCTTTGTTTTCTCTTGTTCTATTAGTTGTTTTGGAAAGGAATAATAACTTTGCAGTGTTTATGTTAGTGAAGGAGACTGTTTTCTTGGTGAGGACATTTTTATTTACTTTTTCCTTGTTTGGTCCTCCATCACATTTGCAATTTCTGCTGAGGATATTATACATATGGTGATATAATTCAAGGGCATTTGCCATAATGTTTAGCATGTAGAAGTAAAACAGAAATATGGATAATGCGTTGTAAATCTTTAATGCAGTGCAAGTCTTGTTGAAATTTATACTACAAATAATAGCTCTTTGGATTTCTTTTGCCAACCCTGAAAGCTCCTTTCTGTTGTACTTGGGTCATTTTAATTGCTCACAGCAGCTTTAATGGCATAATCGCCGAAAGCTTAACTCTCTGGGGAGAAATTGCTCTAATGCAGATCCCCTGAAAGTTTAACAGCACAGCTGATCCATAATAATACAACTTTGAGAATAATGCCTTGAACGCATTACATTTGCTATATATAAATGTGTGTATATTATTTGTGATACTTTTTGCAGTTACAAAACAAGTAGGCAATCACACCCAATGAATAAACAAAAGAGGCCGAGTTATGTAAAAGCCGCCATACTGTGAAAATTGAAGTATTCACATTCAGAGCAACTGCATGGTGTAATCTGCCTACAGCTGCTTCTGGATGGTTTCTTCAAAAAGAAAGTTTCCATTTCACTGTTAAATTTGTACATTTCTTTCTGCTACATGTTTGTGTATAGGTTCTTAATTTTTTGAGTAAGGGTGTCCCTGAAATTATATTTATAAACTAAGGCTTCTGGAAATGTTCAGCAGCCTTTCAAAATGGCATTCTGATGCTTTTTATTCAGCCACTTTTACAATACGAAGCATCCGTATTTTGTTGCTGCATGTTAAAAAAAACAACAACAAAAAAAAAACAACAGCAGCAGCAAGAAAACCCAACAACAATTCATATCTGTGAATAAGCAATCTTTAACTTCCCAAAAGCTTAAAATGATGCATTTGAAGTTCCAGGCAGGGTTCTTGCCTCCCCTGTTGCATCTGTAAAGGTCAGAGGAATATCTAGCATCTATGAGACGTTCTGATGCATGGCTCTTTTTTCTCTCTCTCTTATTATTCTAGGCTTCACAGAGGAGGAAAGGCCAACCTTGTCATTGGAAAAGGAGATACACGAACAAATGTATTCAGGTGAGACCAAATAAAGCTGGTTGAAGTTGGCCGACGACTGAAACCAGATCCCCTGTTGGTATTTATCTGAATGATGAAAAATATGTTGTTTGACTGATGTCTGTGGTGGTTTGTTGATATTTTATATGATACTATTTTGTTCTTTTTCATAAAATGTATGATCTGGCCATTTAGCTTCTAATGGATCTATTATAACATTCACGCTTTAAACCAATTAAGATCAGATTAAAACAGTCTTTTGCTTGTTTTTGCATTGTAACGTGAATTTGGCCACCAGTTGCTATGACAATTTTGAGATGGTTCACATTCCAGGTTTGTCACTCAATCATCACAAGGTTGATTAAAACAAGTAAGATCAGTGGATACTGCTTAGGCCACAGAAAAAAGCGCGTCTATAATACAATAAAACACTCAAATGAGTTCTGAATTTATATTTATTTACACTTAATAAAATCTTCACTTGTACAGAAAAGCTTGATTTTGATATCAGTGTGGTTTGATATAAGATACAGATTATTAAAATGTTCAAGTTAGTGTAATTGGCTTCATTTCAGGTCAAATGAAATAACTTTCTTTATAAGCAATTTGCCTTAATGTAGGTGAAATTACCTTTTCTTTCTTTGCTGCCTGTCATTTCCTCCTCTGTTCTAAATTTATGGTCTGTCAAATTAAGATCACTTGTACCACAATAAATCTTGAAAATAATGATTTTGACTTATGCATGCTCCAAATGCACATGTTGAACTTTTAACAAAAAGGCCAAGACAACGTTAACTGAAAGTTAAAAGGGTATTTGTTCTAAAGAACAGTGCGTCTAACAAGCAGGAGAGCTATAAAAGACAGAATAAAACTTGTCAAGATGACAATTCTCATAAGGATGCAAGTTATTTTTTCTGAGAGCAGAGGACTGAATAATAAGATGACAGTGCCTTAAAGGCTGAAGAACATGGATATGAGGTGTGATTGAAGGAATAAAAGAAAAAAAAAGGTTAGAAAAGCCACACTTGTCACAGTAATGACAGTTGCAATATGTCATTTACAGCAGTGCTTTCTTTAAAGAACAAAAAAAAATATTCAATAGACTACCCGAGTTACATCTTGAATTTAAATAAAAAGGCTTTGTCTTTACTTTGTAAAGCTTTCTTGTACATGTTTTGAATGACATTAAGCAAAATCACTCTTCTTGCTTCCATTCTTTTGTTTTATATATTAGCCCAGACCATATATATGTTGAGTGTGTTTACACTGTTTTAATAAGAACTAACATTTTGCATCTGTATTGTACCAAGTTATATATATTCTCAATTTCCTGTTTTTTTTTTGTTTGTTTCTTTTTCTGGGTGATTGTGAAGAATAACTGGAAGAGCAAATTTTTGCAGCTCACTGTGACGTCCTAGTAAAATGGGTCTTTCACATTTTTTATTCTAAATTTAATCACTTCTGTCATTCTTTTTAGGAAGTGTGAAAGTAGCCCCATGGCTAGAATAGATTTAGATAAATACAGGGCAAGAAACGCACGTCAACAGAAATCAGCCAAGGCCTGGCAAAGTTACGCAGCGTCAGGCTGATGGAAGAACTGACATGCTGGAGATGTGTCTCAGCAACTAATATCCTTTTTCATCTGTGCTGGTTCCGTTCAAATGTTTAGAGATGATGGAAAGCAATTTGCAAAATGCTAAGAACATTGGAGGTCAGTCTATTTCTATTCAATCTGAATGTTTTCAAGTGACTCTGCTTCCATTGGAGACCACTGGAAACTGGTGAAGATGCATACTGAGATCAAAACACTCTCCCTCTTGGTTAATGTAGTCTTGCTCTATTCACCCCCTGCATACTGAAACACATTGGCAACCATATAAATTGAGGTAGGTTGCTGCTACGCCTGACTTGCCCCACACCACACCAGACAGGTGAACATTATCATCAATCCTCATTTGCTATATCCGTTAACGCTATCATTGAACCATGATGTTAATTATGGAATACGCATCTAAAGCTAATTTCCCCTGATCAACAATTAACCCTAGATTGCTACTCCTAGTGTGTTTGCATGTGTCAATCAAATCATATGTATGTGGCATATGAGAGAAAAATATGCTTTGACTTTAAAGAGTGAGTTGACGTTGAGCTCAACGTTTGACGTAATTCGATCAAATCAAACGGCAGAAATCATTTTTAGGAAAATCTTCAAGACGTATTGTCCATGGCCACAAATTTTCTTTCTAACTCAGGATCATTGAAGTACTGTCTAAGAGAAGGCAAGTTATTTAGAAAATACTAATAAAAGTAAAATTAAAAAATAGTTTATAATGACATTGCTGCTGTGATGCATTTGTAATAGCTCAATGTCATGAAAAATGTTTTAGTTGCGAGCAAATTTAAGTGTAACAACTTAGGAAAGACAACACAAGCTGATCACTTTGCTAATCATTCAGTCCTAATGAAAGAGAGTGCCTGGAATGCCAAGGTACATTAAGAAAGCAACAAATAGAAATTAGTAAATTTGTTTTCAACACTTTCATTTATGAAGAACCTCATCACAGGCTTCACATTCACTGTCTGTAATAAAAAGATGGATACAGTCCCCAGATTTAGCTTGTAAATATGCTTGTGCTCTTTTAGTTTGAGCTTCCATTCAACAAGGATTAAGCTTTCACATGAAACAAATAACAGGATAGGACACCACCACACTAGGTATCTGGAAAAAACCTAATTATTACAGACATTATTGTAAACAAATTCTGCTTTCTAAGATCCATATTTATGGATGCGACTCCCTTAGCTGTCATGTCTGGGCTGGTAAACTTGCCAGATAAAATATACAGGACACTAATTCACAGCTAAATACTATTATTTGCCTGTGGACAGGACTGTCCATCCTTATGAAACATTCTCGATGAGTAAAACCAACCTGCACACTGCAAATAATTTCCCCTGCCCATTCATTAAATAAATTGTATCTTTAGGCATTATATCAGATTTTCAGATATATGCTTTTAGGTTAAAGTTCATTGTTACCACAGTATTTAATTACTCTTAGATGGTTTGGGAGATGCTTTTGGGATCATCAATGTGTAGCTCCTTATCTAGCACTGAATCTAGATGTACTGTGCAGATACAGGTAGGGTAAGATGGAAAGGGAATTATATGAAATTTTAGTTTGCATCAGTCTACCACTTCCAGAACATTTGGGAAATGATGATAGGAAACAAGTCAAATACCAATTCTCTTTCTTCATTTGCCTTCTTGCCTTTTACTGAAACTTGCAATAGACAGGAGCAACAATATTGACAGATGTGTCAAAACAATAGTGTTACCCTAGTAAAATATTACTATAAGTTGCATCATACCTCATCAAAGTGTACCATCTCAGTGTCTTTGTCCATGCTTTTGCCTGCTAAGTCACATTTCCCTCAGGCACTTTCAGATCGTGTTGCGTTGAATATCGCTAACAGTGGGGCTAGAAGTCTACATAATATAGACTTTAAAGATTTTATGCTATGTTGCCACCTCTAATCCTGACATATTACTGTTTTCAGTCTTTAAAATATTCAAACAATTGTTAAAGGAAGTACATTTTTTGCTTAATTAACTTTGTTTTGAATAACTGTTTCACTGATGCTTCTTTTTTATTGTCAAACGTCAAGTACCTTTCCAAAATGACAACCTTCAAACAAGTATAACTTATTGTTCTGACATAATATCCTTATCTTAAGTGTTGTGTTTTACTAATCAAAATAATTAAGTTGCACAGGCTTAAAATCTAAGTGAGTTTCCTTAATCTAAAATCTGTGTTTTCCTTAGTGAATTGAGTTAATAAAAAAGGAAACATTTAAATATTAGAATTAATTGAATTTGACCATAAGTTACATTATATTGTCATGTTAACATACAATGTAACATACATGTTGTAGATATTGAGGGTAAAAGCACACCCAGATATCACACAGCCTGTTTCCCTCATGCTCTCTGAGGAGACAAACACTTCTGGAGGGCACTGAATTTGCCTTCCGGCAGGAAGTGTTAGTCCTAAACGCCTCCACCTCACTTGATCAAGTTTCTACTTCGCCACTTGTCAGTCACATTGATGAGCTATCATCTCTGATGCAGCAGACACCCTGAGGTTTCTGGCATCTGCAAAGCTCATAACAGACACTGAAGTAGCAAGTAATTATTCTGTGCTCATTTCTTCGCTGGCAATCAACAGCATTTCATAACTGCTGGTGCATGTGTTTACTTTATTATGTTTTTCAGACCTTTGCTTATTACCTTGAGTTGACTGTGCTTGACTGTTTGGCCCTCACTCCTTAACACATGCTTTCAGCTTTTCTTCATGTCAACACAGTTCAGCATTCTGTAGATAATGATTTAAAATCTTTGACCTCAGTGAGCAAATATTTTTATTTTTTTTTTTAGATTCAATTAATTTTTTTGGTAAACTCTTTGGTGAGAAATTTCCGGTAATTTTTTCTGTTAGGTCTCACCAAGTGACTGCTGGTGATGGGGCCTAGCACCTTCTGTGATCCCAGAGGAACAAATGGGTACTGACAATTGATCGGTGTATTGTTAGGAGTTTCATGTGTTTGGCTGAACCTTTAGACTGAACAATCATCCAGGCACCTTTTGTTGATGTGGATTTATGTTCTGTTAAAAAAAAAACAAAAAAACAAACATAATAGTTGCAGTATAAACTTGCATAAATAAATAGATAAATTCATTAGTCGTGGCCCTATTATAGCACAACATATAGAAGTGTAATGTGGGAACCAAGTGCATCTAACCAAACATTTCATAAGGGGAACCTCTAGATATTACTTACCACATTGTAAAGGTTCATTCTATGGATACTTTATTCCTTTTTATTTTTTTAATTTTCTCTTGATTTGGATATGTGCAACTATTGATTTGTGTAGATTATTTCACAATACGGTCAACTGTGCCTCAAGTATTATTGGTATTAAATTCCCTGTTCTTGAATTAAGTAACTTTTTTTTTATTTATTTTTT